TTTTCCTTCCTGTTCCTTCTTTAATAATAAGCACCAAGGAGACTTAGATCTAGCAAGTCTCTTAGTAAATGAGAGAGTAGTAGGAAGTTTTTTCTCCTAAGTAGTTATCTCAGCAATTGCCATACATTCCTTCTGTTCTAGTTGCCCTACAGCTTCTGGTCTTACAAACAATTCCTTCTGCTGAAGTGACTTTGTGAAACCCCCAATACTTTTATATTTGCTTATGGCTTGTCTACTAGCCTCCATAAGAGGGGTTTTAGGGTAGCACTTAACTCCGGTGAGTTAGTCATATTTTTAAGACACTCATCAGATATTGGAGTCGTCAACACTCTTAAGAAAGAGCTTTAAATAAGGGAACGTTGACAATGAGTAAGTACAAAGAGCAGTAGAAACAGTAAAAGATTAATAGGCACTCTTATGAGGAAAAGATAGGCAGAAACACATCTTTGCCAGCCTTTTTCCAGGAGTAGGCCTCTTAGAAGCCCTATTCTCCGAGGTAGACTTCAGTGAAGTCCCAAAACTCAGAGATAGGTCTCTGAAGCCCCTATCATGGTCTGATAGATGGTTTCCCATGCTAAGCAGACTCCACTGGAGTCTTTTATTTCTTTATAAAACTTCAATTATTAAGCAGGGCACCGGTGACTCACGCCTATAATCCTAGCTACTCAGGAAGCTGAGATCTGAGGATCACGGTTCAAAGCCGGCCTAGGCAGGAAAGTCTGTGAGACTCTTATCTCTAAAAACCACCAGAAAACTGGAAGTGGTGCTGTGGCTCAAGTAGTAGAGCGCTAGCCTTGAGCTGAAGAGCTGAGGGACAGTGCCCAAGCCCAGAGTTCAAGCCCCATGACCAACAACAACAACAAAAAATTATTGTTCCCACTAGAAAGGCCCTGTGCTCAGAAAGAATGGGTCTGTTCTCACAGCATAATCAATATTGGCTTAGAGTCTTCCTGGGTGAGAATACTCACACTGGGTTAAGACATAAAAGAAAGCCTATTTGGGAAAGGGGGCATGTTGAGATTTTCCTCACAAAAAAAAAAAGAAAGTCCACCTTTTCCCTGCTTTGGCACCGTCAGAGGAGGAAATAGTAGTTGACTGCATTCAAAAGCTTTCAGGATAGAAAGAAATGCCATTTTACTTGGGACTTTAAGCTCCACATCAAATCACAATAATGACTCCGGGGAGAAGTATCTGGTCATTCCTAATGTACAAAAATAGATGTTTTTGCTGCCATTCTAATACTAAAACTCTACTTACTTATATTTCAGAAAAACCAGCAGATTAAAACATGTACTATCTCTTTTCAACATCTCTACATGAAACTTTTTTCCCCACTTAAGTCATTAAGTTACACCAAAAGATTCAGGAATATATCACGGTCTAAGACCACACTTTAACAGGCTATTTAACTATTCCTTTACCCCAATCCAAATATACACTTCAGCTTTGTGGAAATAAGCTATTATACTTCAAATTAGTTTCAGCAAAATTAGCGATAATATTTTAATACATATATAAAGGAAGAAAACTTTTTGCTTAAAAGCAGAATGAAAAAGTAGTATTTCTTAAACTATTGTGTTTTAACCAAGAAAGTCAGAAAAAGAATATGTTAAAAATCCTGCCATGAAATTTTTTAACTTTGCCTGAATAATATATATGAGAAAAATCTAGCCAACCAGGTTGGTTGGCCTCAATCTAACTTCCAAGTTTTTTCCTCATTACTATAGTCTTTTCAAGCTGGTCACCACTATTCACTGAATGTGACTGCCCGCTGCCATTTACCAAATTTGTCACCTTAGGCAAGCCATTCAATTTCTTGGTGCCTCAATTTTCTCATATGTAAAACAGAGCTAATAACAATAGTTACACTTTATTCAGGTAGAAAAATCAAGGGATTTAAAATATAACATATATCTTTAAATTATATCTGCCTTGATAAATAATTCCCTGTTCCTCTCTGCAAATCTTTTCTATTCATTAAAACCCAACTTTCAGCTCAAAATAATAGTTTCTAACAAGTTCATTTTAACTATATTTTTTAAAACCCCGTCTTTGCCTAAACTTGTGTAACAACTAGGATCCATAACAAAGATTAGAATTTGGCACTAATATCATATAATCTAATTATTATAAGTTAATTAACTATGTAATGTACATTTTTTCATCAAATAAATGATATGAAATCCCTGAACACAAACCCCCATTCTATTGTACTACATTGTCCAAAGAGTTTTTACAGTAATGCAGGCACAGAGAGTATACACAGTAAAAACAAAACAACAACAACAACAAAAAAGTTGAGTGTTCATAAAAATGTTAAACTTGAGACCTTTAGATTGTCTTTAATAATGATCAACACCCTCACAGTCTCAAAGCAAGGGGGAAAATGTTTCCTGATTTAATTTTCAGACCTACTATAAGAATGTCCATTCTCAAGAGACAAGTACATTCCTGCACATAATTGGAATCACTGGCAGAGCCAAAAAACAGGAATGATTGGGGGGGGAGGGGAAGAAAGGAAAAAGAAAGATAATTAGGCATCCCTCTGACAACTACCCCAATCTGGAAATAATTAACAGGAAACTCAAAGGAAGTTAACATTACAGTTTTGCAAAATGGAGAATAAGCTGATCCTTCACTGCAACCTTGAATGTGGAATCTGGTTCAATTCAACACTGTTTTGTATCTTTGTAAAATTCCACCATCAGCTTAAATCTCTAATACCCATTTTTTTCTTTAGGAAGTTAATCACATACTCTACACTCATGGATATATCTTACCTTCAGCAGGTCATAGCAGATTACAAGATTTTCTTTCTTTCTTCCTCCTTTCTTTCTCTCTCTCTCTCTTTCCCTCCCTTCCTCCCTTCCTTCTTTCCTTCCTTCCTTCCTTCTTTCCTTCCTTCCTTCCTTCCTTTCTTGCCAGTCCTGGGGCTCGAACTGAAGGCCTGAGCACTGTCCCTGAGCTTCTTTTGCTCAAGGCTAGCACTTCTACCACTTGAGCCACAGCGCCACTTCCAGCTTTTTCTGTGTATGTGGTACTAAGGAATCAAACCCAGGGCTTCATGTATGTTAGGTAAGCACTCTACCACTAAGCCACCTTCCCAGCCCTACAAGTTCTTTCTTATAAAGCACAGACCTTAACTTCTACTTTTGATCACCTTCAGAATGCAGAAAAATGGTTTTCACACAGCAGACCCTCAAATATTTGTTATGACTGGATTGAACAAAGAGGTTTATAGTATATACTCCTAGGTGAGTACTGACCTAGCTGAATGTGTAGCTACCATGTGTAGAATGTCTATGGAACCACACACCTACTCTTTTAAGGATAACTTGTCTTTCGCAAATAGAAAAAGGTTTTCAAAAACTTCAGTAAAACTCTCAAGATTCTGCAGCTAGTTGAGAAGTGAAACTATGATTACTACTGAGGGCTTAGAACAGGAGACAAAAGACCTACGTATTCACCTCTGACTTGACTTTGACTTACAAACAGGTGTATCAGATTAAGCTTTGACCTCTGGCTTCTAAATGAGAGTGGAGTTAGGGGTGTGTCACAAAATAAGCTGAAGTCAACTCTTAGACCAGTTGGGAGAGAAGTATTTTGACAGCAATTAATTGATGTGATGCTTGCGGCAAATTTGGCTTAGGTTGTCAACCTCTTACTTATACAAATGTGTTCTGAGAAATCCAGAATATTAAAAAATTAAAAATGAAAACTAAAAAACTGAGATAAAATGGATGACTTGTCATATTTACACTAACATTTACTGAATATAAAGCATCTGAACAGCCTAACTAAAGGCAAAGCTAATCAGATTATATAAAATGCAAGACCTAACTATATGTTGCCAGTAGAAAAAACAAGGATTAAAACTAAATAGGTGGAAATGACATACCACATTAATCTAATCAAAAGAAAGTTCCTATCTAGTTAGTATGTATATTATAGAAACTGGAAATTCCAAGTATTCTAGCGTTCTTGTTCATACCATTTTACAGTACCATCAATAGTGCATAAAGGTTATAATTTCCCCACTTCCTTGCTAACACTTGATATTTTTCTGGGATTTTTGTTGTTGATTTGTTTGTTTTCTGAGACACAGCTAGGCTGCCTTGAATTTGTAATTCTCCTACCTCAGTCTCCCAAGTGCTGGGACTGCAGCCCTGTGCTGCCATTTACTTCCTGTTTTTCTGATGTAGCCATCCTAGTAGATAGAGGTGATTTCTCATTCTTATTTCTTAATTTAGTTTGTTCAAGTATCAGAGCTTAAACACAAGGCTTCTTGTTTTTTCTTGCTCAGCTTTTTCCCTCAGGGTTGGTTCTCTACCACTTGAACTGTACCACTAGTTCTGGCTTTTTTCTGGTTAATTAGAGATAAGAATATCTTGGATTTGTCTGCTTGACCTGCTACACCATAGTCTTCAGATCTCAGGGTCTTGAATAGGTAGGATTATAGGCATGAACCACCATTACCCAGCTCTCTATTTCTTACCCCTTTAACTACAGTAATCTGATTTTTTTTCTTCTTTTGGATACTAGACTTCATCCTTCAATCCATTCTTTATATGGCTTTCAGAAAGTACATCTGATGACAGATATACTATATCTATCATCATATACTTTCTCTGCTAAAAGCTTTCACTCGCTTTCCATCCTTTTCAAGTAGGTCCACATTCCTAATCATACCACAAATGGGTTTTTAAAATGTGGCCTCTGCTGACTAATCCTCCTTCAGCCCCTCCCTTGCTCTACTATCCTCCTACAGTTAACTCCACTCTGAATGAATAAATAAATGAGGTAGATCATGAAGTCTAGAAAATCACTTTCAAAGTAAGAAAAAAACAATAGAGGAGTTGATCTGATCAAAGTACAATACATACATATGTGAAGTACCACGGCAAAAACCCTTTGTTCGAAAATAAAAACTTGTTAAAAATCTAATGAAACAAATCTCTGTTACAAAGCAAATCTATTCTTTTTAACTTGGGGTAGCTTACCTGAGATTCTAGAACCTCCAATTTACGCTTCCTTGCATGAAGGGCTTTACTTGGAAAAGCCCAATAATAATTGGAAGTTCCGATCCTCTCACAGTCAACCATCCCATCATCAACTAAACTCTGAAGGACTTCTTTTACGGACATAGCAGCTAGGAGAGAGAAGTTTAAAGACTCTACGTTAAGAAACACCATAAATATTCAAAACAAGTAACTGGGTAAGCATTTATAAAACATATTACACATCAAGAGTTAATAAGTTCATAAATAAGGAACTCTTAAAAATAAAAACAAAATAACACAATATGCATGGCTGATAAGAAAATTTCAACCCCTCCCCCTTAATTAAGGACATGTGAAACAAAATAAATACAGCATCTTGATTAGAAAATCTGAAAAGATATAACAAAGGATCCATGAAATGGATACCCTTAACAGGGATGGAGACATTTGTACCATGTATCTAAAATTTCAGATTCATACTTGTGTTTTATGGAAAAATCAGAAAATAATGATGAAATCTCAAGTAAGCTATCACAAGTTAAAAAGAACAAATTCACTTTATAGGGATGTTTGTTAAAGTATTTTCAGTACACAAAAAGTTGAAAATCAATCAAATAACTGTACTTTAAAAGCTACTATGAAATAATTTATAAGAGAATATCTAATGACATGAAGAAAATGTTATACATATTAATATAAGTATATATAATATGTATACATATATATAATACTACTATTGACAGAGGCTATCTTCGGATGGCCGAATGGAAGTAATAAGCAATTTCTATTTCTTTCTTTTCTTTTCTTTTTTGGCACTAGTCCTGAGCCTTGAACTCATTGCTTGGGCACTGTCCTTGAGTTTTTGTTCAAGGCTGGTGCTCTACCACTTGAACCATAGCTCCATTTCGAGCACTTTGGTAGTTAATTGGATATAAGACTTTCCTGCCTCAGGCTGGTTTTAAACAGCGATCCTCATATCTCAGCTACCTCAATGGCTAGAATTACAAGCATGAGCCACTACTCTCTATTTCTTTTTTTCTGCTTATTTTGTACCCCACCTCCCAACAATGAACATATATTGCTTTTTGCTAAGAAAACAAAAACAAAGTTACCATGAAAAATTAACAATAAATAAAAAACATGAGAAGTAGGTGCTATAGTTAGGGTTAAGATTGAAAATCAGAAAGTTAGCCAAAGTGGAAGAAACATGGCCTCTTCAACTATTGGTGCTGGGAAAACTGGGTGGCCACATGCAGAAAAAGTGGACCCCAGCCTTTCACCATGTACTAACATCAACTCAAAATGGATTAAAGACCTTAACATCAAACCTGAAACTCTGAAACTACTGCAGGACAGAGTAGGAGACACTTGAACTTATAGGCACAGGCAAGAACTTCCTGAGCAGAGTCCCAGGGTCACAACAAATTGGAGAGAGACTACCTTAAAATAAAGTTTCTGCATAGCTAAAGACATAGCTACCAAACTAGAAAGACAGCCAGCTAATTGGGAAAAAATATTTACCAGCAATATATCAGACAAGGGGCTAATATCCATTATATATAGGAACTCAAGAAACTAATCCCTCCCAAACCCAACAAACCAATTACTAAATGGGCAAGGAAATTAAAGGAGAGACTTCTCAGAAGAGATAAAAATGGCAAAGAAACACACGAGGAAATGTTCATCATTCCTAGCTGTAAAGGAAATGCAAATAAAAACAACCCTGAAATAGCACCTTACCCCAGTCAGAATGGCCAACATCCTAAAGTCAGCCAACCACAAATGCTGGTGCGGAAGCAGAGGAAGAGGAACCCCATTGCACTGCTGGAGGGAATATACACTAATACAACTACTTTGGAAAGCAGTCTACAGGTACCTCAGCAAGCTAAACATAGACCTTCCCTATGACCCAGCCATATCACTCATAGGCATCTACCCTGAACAACAGGAATCAGGATACAAGGACACATGCACCTCCATGTTCATTGCTATACCATTCATGGATCCAAGATATGGCAACAACCCAGATGCCCCACTACACATGAATGGATCCAAAAATTGTGGTATCTGTATACAATGGAATATTATGCAGCCATTAGAAAGGACAAAATAATGGCATTTGTAGGGAAATGGATGGAACTAGAAAAAATCATTTTGAGCGAGGTAAGCCAAGATCAGAGACAAACAGCACATGGTCTCCCTGATATGTGGATGCTAAATCCAAAATGCAAGGAAATATGACAAAATAAACAAGACTCAAGAAACAAAAGACATCTACTTAATTTGGCATATAATTTCTAACTGACTCCATGTTCTTGACCTCATATGTTGTGTGTGTGTGTGTGTGTGTGTGTTTATGCACATCTGAGGGAAACTAGAAGAAGGGCACAGAATCAGAGGGAAACGGGAAAATACACAACAGAGGGGCCCAGCTGCACTGGACATTGATGAAAATGAACTAAACAACTCAAGGGCAGCGATAGGAGGGAGGGAATGAGAGGGAAAGAGGGTACAGCTAACACTAAGCAAAAGGAAAGAAATGTCCATATCACCTGATGTGGAAGAAGATATAGTTGTATTGTCAAAGCTTATAGAATTCACACACTTTATAGACCAAATTATTGACAATTTGCCTTTTTTTTTTTTGGGGTCCGGTCGTGGGGCCTGAACTCTGGGCCTGGGCGCTGTCCCTCAGCTCTTCAGCTCAAGGCTAGCACTCTACCACTTGAGCCACAGTGCCACTTCCGGCTTTTTTCTTATGAGGAATCGAACCCAGGGCTTCGAGCATGCAAGGCAAGTGCTCTACCACTGAGCCACCTTCCCAGCCCCCAATTTGCCTTTTGAAGGTTAAAATGTTTGTGACTTTAAGTATCACTATCATACAATACTGTGAAATATGTGAAATTTATGTAATCACTTAATCTCAATAAAAATTATTTTAAAAAAAGAAAATCAGAAAGTTTTGAAAATAGATGGATTCTGGTGGCTCATGCCAGTAATCCTAGCTGTTCAAGAGGCTGAGATCTTAGGATTGCAGTTCATAGCAAGCCCAGGGAGGAAAGTCCATGAGACTCTTACCTCCAATTAACCACCAGAAAACTGGAAGTGAAGCTGTGGCTCAAAGTGGTAAAGCACTAGCCTTGAATAAAAAAGGTCAAGGACAGTGCCCAGGCCCTGAGTTCAAGCCCCACAACCAAACAAAGGAACAAAAGAAAAGTTCTGAAAATCACACATTTCAGTGGACGCCAGTGGTTTACGCCTGTAATCCTAGCTACTAAGGAGGCTGAGATCTGAGGATCTCGGTTCAAAGCCAGCCTAGGCAGGAAAGTCTGTGAGACTCTTATCTCCAAAAACCACCAGAAAACCGGAAGTGGTACTGTGGCTCAAGTAGTCGAGCACTAGCCTTGAGCTGAAGAGCTGAGGGACAGCGCCCAGGCCCAGAGTTCAAGTCCCAAGAGGGACAAAAAGAAAATCACATTTCACAGATGACTGAAATCACAAACAATTCTTAACTTTCTATGTACCAAAGTATATATTCACATTTAATGTCCATTTTAATTTCTTCCTAGAGTAATTCCCCAGTTATAATACAATTTATTATAATTAAGGACTAAATTAACCCCTGGAATTGTGAGCAAAAATAAATTCTTCCTTCTAAGTTGCCTTGACAGGTATTTTGTCACAGCAATGGAAAGTCTAACTAAGCCACAAATATAATTAAAAATCAAGTTAACAATCTCAAGATGAGATCATCTTGTACTTAAAGTAAGTTCTAAAGCCAATGGCATGAATCCTTTTAGGAGGAGGGGAAGGAGGGAGGGTGAGAGAAAAACCCAGAGGGCAAGGCCATTGGAATATGGAACAAAGGATAGGAGGTCAGCCACGTACTCTGGCATCAACTAGAAGCTAGGGGAGAAGAAAAAGAATAGAAAAGGGAATGGAGGGGAGGGGAGGGGAGGGAAGGGAAGGGGAGGGAAGGGGAGGGAAGGGGAGGGGAGGGAAGGGAAGGGAAGGGAAGGGAAGGGAAGGGAAGGGAAGGGAAGGGAAGGGGAAGCTTCTGAAGGAATTAGCCCTGTCTACCCCTTAATTTCAAACTTATGGTCTTCATAACAGTGAGAAAATGAATTTCTATTGGTTTTATTGCAAAGTGTGTGTGAATTTATGACAGATGACTGAGGTGTATTTTCTGTGTACATACATGTATATGCACATATATGTCTTCTCTTTCAATTCTTCTAGAGTACATGTTCCAACACAAGACTTATGGCCATGGCCAATAGACATCATCTACATTTTCCACCTCTAGAAAACTTATGTCTTCCATAAAGGAAAAGATGGTTGCAGAAAAGATGACAGGTATTTCCCAGCATATCTTGGGTACTTACTAATGCCTTTCTCTTTGGGAGCGATCTTCTCCAAGTCTTTTAATTGAAATACATCTTTCTGTTTAAAAGCATTGGGGGAAAAAATAAAAATCACATCTTTTCTACTATGTATTTATATTTGCCATGATTATGTTCATGAAACATTGTACTAAGAAACTATGCCAGCAAATGAATATGCTATAAGAATTTTAAGATTAGAAGAAACTTTAGGGTTAGCTCATTCAATACCTTCTATAGCACTTAAATGAACAGATGTTTCCATGATCATACAGCTGTTTAAAGTGCGTGGAGATTAGAACATAAAGAACATCTGTCCATTGAAGTAGAAAACATGAGATCATTAGAGTCTCTGAAACTCTGATTTAAGAAAATAGAGACCGCTGGGAAGGTGGCTCAGTGGTAGAGTTCTTGCCTTGCATGCATGAGGCCCTGGGTTCGATTCCTCAGCACCACATAAGCAGAAAAAAAGCCAGAAGTGGCACTCAAGTGATAGAGTGCTGGCCTTGAGCTGAAGAGCTCAGGGATAGCATTCAGGGCCCATGACCGACAAAAAAAAAAAAAGAAAATAGAGACCATAGCAAGGAACAGTGGAAATCACTTGAGCACAAAGTTTGAGAGCAAGACCCTATCTGGGAGAAAAAAAAAAAAATCCTATAGGAAAATACTTAATCTGATGGTCATGAAAATATCTGCTGAATACTTCCTTCTATTTGTAATAAGCCTTGGATAATAACTTGGATAATGAAAGCAAAATTGCTTAAAAAGAATAAAGTATTCAGTAATTAGAACAGAAATATTGTGATTATTGTTATGGAAATCTGGGAACCATTTCTTTCAAAATAAACTTGAAAAGGCAACTTCAATTGGATGGAAATTAAACTTCAAAAAATTAAAAACTTCTGCTCATCCAAATGGGTACTGCTAAGAAACTGAAGAGACGAATACTGCTTAGAAGAAAATATTTTGCCAAACAAATACTTGACAAAGTCCTGGTGCTATATATATAACATTTCTTTGAAGTATAGCCAAAAAAATTGATGGCTGGATAAAAAAAAAAAAAACTTTTAGGTTTTTGAAAAGATTTCCAAAACCTTGTGGATGAATCATTTATGATTAGAGGCAACATAATATATGGCACTTTGTCAGTTTGTTTTCTAATTTGATTCCAATGTTCACTGTAGGTAACTGAGAAAACAGACTATAAAACAATATCCATTTGTGATCCTACTCATCTGTTAATATCTATGATCATATTGCAATGTTTTCTTGGATTCTGCACTTCAATTTAACATTACATCATACTCATGTTCTCATGACATGTCATTAAAAGGGGACCACTATTCACATCTAGCCAATGCTGGAATAGCCATATTTGATTTTCATGAAATTTTTACTTGCCAATAACAATCAAATTTGAATCTAGATTCCAAACTCTGAATCACAGAATTCATTGTTTCCACTGTACCTCATATGTTGATTTACTTTGAATTGTTAAGGAGCTAATATTTATGAGCATCAGTCTGGATGCTGAACTACCTACTATATTCTGTTCATGGGAGAATGAATGAATGAATGAATGAATAAAATGATCTCCACTATTCTTCTCAAATGTATCTATACTTATTCAATTACATAAAAAAAAACCTAATGGAATAAATGAGCAGCAACTTAAGCTGCAATGTAGAAAAAGGAACAGGAATATATTAACTGAAATCAATCAACAGAATTTGGAACTTTGCTGAAGAACTCAGATTATTAACAATCTTTAGGCTACCAGTATTCAGTATCTAATATCTAGTCTCTAGTATCTCTCTGTTGTTAGGGGCCAATTTTAATATTTTCAGTCACAAACAGCCAATTTTGATCTTTGAGGCAACAATATTCTAAAGAATGTAATAACTTCACTGGCTACTCTCCTCAGATTTCCACTGCCTTGTGGAAATTAAAGAATTAAGACTGGGTTTCTTCCTCCAAAACCACAGAAAAATAATATTTCATCTCAGCAGAAGAAATTGTCATAATTTTCACATATAAATCTCATCAATTTGCCTCCCTATTCAGGTTCCCAATGGCTTTAAGGACCAAATGTAAAGAAATTTTACCAATTTAATATTTTATTTTACCTCTTTTCCTCATCTTCTTCACATCTGTACATTGTGCAAGTAGCCAGCAGTTTAGGGACAGTACGTAAAAGGTGTTGCCCAGCCATATAAAGTTAACTTGTTTAGGTATGGACTGTTTGGATTTGAAGCTGTAACCAAGAAAGGCCACTATAGAGCAGCATGGTGGAGAGAATAGGCCCCGCTCAGGCGCTGGGTTTGAACCCTGACTCTGCCACAGAGACCAGTTGAAACTTTAACCTTATTTCCTGTTAGTAGCAGGCACAAATGTCTGGAATAAATTAAAGAGGCCTGTGTACCATCATGTATGTGTTATACTGACAGATCAATCAATACAACGAGACGGTATTTTTGAATTCTTTTAAGAGCTAGGACTGGCTTTTTAGAAACTGTGTCTCAGGAGCCCTCACCTGTAAAAAGAGGAAGTTACAAACATACAGACCTTTTAGGGCTGACAGGAGGTTGAAATCAGATAATGTACACAAAGTGCTTAACTGTACTTGGCATCTAGCAGCACTCAGAGAGTACATAGCAATTATTTTTTCAAACAGGAAAGACACAATCAGATATATGCTTCAGGAAAATAACTCTAGGGTCAGTATATAGGGCAGTCTGGATAAAAGACTACCAACAAGAGGATAGGATTCTTTTTGTTCCTCAAACGTTTGTAGAATTTTACCTATCCTTCAAGAAACTGGTCAATATAGATGTCTAACAAAGAGACCAAGTTTAATATTGGACATTATTTCACATGAAAACACACAATATACTGTGAAAATATATTTAATGTGAAAATTATACAAAATACTAAAATGTTAAGGAAAACAACTTACTGTCTCAAAAAATATTTCCATCATACGAGTTCTCTTTTCTTCTGCACTCAGTCCTTTTTTCTTTGACTAAAGCACAAAAGTAAAAAGATGTAAATGCTATATATTTTTTGAAATATTACTTTAAAACAACATGGTTTTAAACATCTAAAATATTACTGTGGGGGTTGAGGGGCGCACACATGCACACACGTACCACTCTTAAGACTTGAACACAGGGCCTGGGCACTGTCCCTGAGCTTTTGTGTTCAAGGCTATCACTCTACCACTTGAGCCACAACTCCACTTCCAGCTTTTTTGGTGCTTAATTGGAGCTAAGAATCTTAATGGATTTTTCTGTCCTGGCTGGCTTCAAATTTTGATCCTCAGCTCTCAGCTTCCTGAGTAGCTAGGATTACAGGGGTGAGCTGCCAGCACCTGGCTGTCTCACACCTCTTCTCTGATCTCATCTGCTTTCATCACTTTAATTAACATGTGCTGAGACCGCAGATCTTTACATCTGGCCCCAAGTGTGCTCCAGAGCTTCAATCTCATGTATCTACCAGCCTGCTGGACAGACTTCAAACTGAGATCATCAGAAATGAACTCTTCACTCCTACGCCTCCTCCCAAACCTGCTATTCTACATCTCAGTCTCAGTTACATACCATCTTTTTTTTAACCTGTGCTAGAATCCTAAGAGTCATCCAAGGTGCCTTCATTGCTTCTTTTTCTAAAAATAACTAGTTCATAGTTTGCATATGATATCCCCAATGCAGCAACGTTTGGTTTTCCTCTGACACTCTGCTGTTCTTTCAGTATCTATGCCAACCATACACACAGGTTGAGCTCACATGGTGCATGGACACCCTCAAAGACCCCAGCGCTCCAGCACTTGCACCAGGGCCCTTCCATCTCACTGCACCTATATCTTTCTCTGTTGGAGCTCTGCCATGGCCCTGCCCTTCATGAACAGTCTTTAGGTCAGGAAGCCAAACTGGCCCCACATGATGCGTTAACTCCAAAAAACATATGCTTGAAGCTCTAGGTTGAAGGGGAGTAAAGTTTGCCGTGTCTGGGCTTCCTTCATGACTAAGAACTTGGATGGATTAGCAATATCTGACAAGGTGATGTGGGAGACTGCAAGCAAGTTGAGGGTTCAGGAGGCAAGGTCTATATTCTACCCTTGCCTTAGGTGGCTAGTCAGTTACCTTGGCTGTGCGCTCTCATTGGCTTCCTCAGAGCCTGGAAGGAACAGGACAAGTCCCAAGCTAGAGGGAGCCTGTCAGGGCAGCCCATGGACATCTGGTAGGGGGTCTATATGTTGTAGCCCCCCACTGGAGTCCACCCTGTCACAGAGGTGAGGATAGCTGGCCAGGCCTCAGTGTTCAATATACAGACATCTTATAGCACTTACACAGAAATGACCTTAACCTTCAGATAAATCCTCAGCTCCAAACTAAAAAGGATTATCTTTCAGCAAGGCCAAAACACAGTGAAAAAGGACAATCTTAATCAGCTTCCATTTCTTTGCCTACATTCATCGAGTCACCAACTTTGTCAATTTAGTGTCTATCTCTGTCATCTATCCTGCCCGTTTCATCTGTTACCTTGGTTCAGACATTCATTATCTGCCTCCCGCAACATGCCTCCAATTACCTAAAGCACACCTTTGTCTTTTTTTGGGGGGGGAGGTGGGAGGGGGTATCAGTCATGGGGCCTGGGCACTGTCTTTGAGCTTTTTCGCTCAAGGTTAGTACTCTACCACTTTGGGCCACAGCACCACTTCTGATTTTCTAGTGGTTCATTGAAGGTAAGAGTCTCATGGACTCTGCCCAGGCTGGCTTGGAACCAAGATCCTCAGATCTCAGCCTCCAGTAGCTAGGATTACAGGCGTGAGCCACCAGCGCTGGGGTGCCCACTCTTTGTCTCATTCTTAATCCACATTCCTACTTCAAAAAAACAAACTTGGACACCTCTCCCTTGCTTCAAATCTTTCTGTGGCCCCAATCATGACAAATAGCCAAGCACTCCACATATAGGGCCTGGTCACCACTCACACGAACTCTCCACCTCAGTCTTCCCAGGAGAACAGTTAGGTAACTTGGGTTATAATACAAAAGCTATTTGTAATTCTCTACTCATATCATACTATCGTTTTGTGACCCTTAAAAATATATTCTTTTATCCAGACCACCTCTCCTCTGGCCTATGCAGCATTGCACAAGGTCTCTCAACATTTAGTTGAAGTGCTGTCTCTCCAGAACTTCTTGAGCTGAGTTCACAGGTTGTGCATGTGTTTCTAGGACACACTTTCATCAAATTATTGACTACAATGAAGGAACAGATGTGTCATTTATCTGTCTTTCAGCAGACTGCAAAACTGCTTGAGATCAAGAATTGCCTTTGCCTTCCCAGGGGTTTGTAGTAGACATTGCAGACACCAAGGCTAGGCCTGAGTTTCAGGATCATGTATCTAAGGCTCCCAAGTTTAAAATTTGAGGTTGCACAGGTTCCCAAGCCCCAAACACCCACCACACTCCCATACATACAATCCAGAGTAAATTAATAATAGGGCATTCTGTGATAACCATCTATGGCCTTACTTACAGAGAGAAATCAGAGAAATCTCCAGCAGGGAGGCAAGTCCCAGGATGCCACGTAGAGCTGTTTTCTAACACTAACCCTAAGGCGGAGAGCTAGAGTAGGAGAGTCCTGCTCCCTATGGGTCTCCCACAGAATCTGAACCAAGCAAGCAAGAAAATCACATTCAGTAGAAGGTTCCACACATCATTTCTAAACACCAGTGGGTGTCGCTCTTCAGAAACTTTACAAATGTTGATGCCTAAGCCCACAAAGTTTCTCCTTTATGAACTGAAGCAGAATCTGAGATGAGCCCTGGGCAGGCATATTTTTAAAAATCTCCCAGCCTTTCACTGTACCCCAGAGCTAAGAGCCCCGCCTCTCTCATTCTAGAATCCAGATCTCTGGATGCAAGCAAGTGAACATTCCACTTTAGTTTGTGGCAGCATCAGATCCCAAAGTTGTACCAGAAAACCTCCTAGCATTTATTATAGATATTATAAATTATAAGTATGCTATCAACAGTTTTTGGAAAGCCCTCCTGTTCTCCATAAGAAGAGCCCGCATGATTGGGCATGGTGGGTACTGTAATTCCAGCTTCTTGAGAGATGGAGATGAGAGGACCAAAGTCTGAGGCCAGCCACTAGGAAAAACTGATAGTATTGAGCATCAAAACAGTGAGGAGATTCCAAATGCTTCATAGTTGGTCAAAGTATTTTAAACCAGGCTGAGCACTGGTGGCTTCTGCCTGCAATCCTAGCTACTGAGGAGGCTGAGCTCTAAGGATTGTGGTTCAAAGCCAGTCTGGGCAGTTTCTGAGCCTCTTATTTCCAATTAATGAAGAGGCAGAAGAGGCACTGTGGCTCTAAGTGGTAGAGTGCTAGCCTTGAGCAAAAGAGCTCAAGGGGCAGCACCCAATCCCTGAATTCAAGCCCCACAGCAGACAAAAACAAAGCAACAACCATCACCACCCAAACGAAGTGTCTAATAAGGAGCTACATACAATAAAGAGGTACAGAATTTCTACCAGCTCTGTTGATCATTGCAACAAAATTTAAAAAAAAAATAAAAAGTAGATGTTATCACACAGTTCTACATTTTCTAATTCCAAAAACAGAGTCCTGGACTTACATTAACCAAACAAGCACAACCAAGTCAAAAAGCTATTAACCCATAACTAGGAAAGAAGTCAAAACCTAACATTAAACCAACTGACCACATTTAGCAAATACCTATATATAAAGGCTTTTTGTTGTTGTTTCATGCTTCATGATCAGAAACATGTGAGAAGAGGGAATAGCACAATAAATCATATTAGGCGATTCATGAGTAAGAGAATTCGGTGAAGGGACAAAGGTTCCCAAGTCAAGATGCAGGCTTCTCAGTTGTCAGGTATATTACACCAGCTGCTCCACAAACAGAAATACGATAACTACGAGCCTAGTAGCACGGTCGTTTGAAGTCTGGTCCTGCGGCTCCTTAGGCCACATTCCGCCCAGGTGGCTGGGGTGGCTAGCTTAACCACAGAGAAGCCGTTATCAGTTATAATTACAGCTGGGCGAGGATCTTCAAATAAATACCATACAACCTGAGCTGGGCCCACCATTAGCTCGGCAAAATAACGGCCACTTAACTAAATTAAGATATTAAAATCTTGGACCCACTTTAATTAGACATCGATTCTCTGCCAACAGAAGCCGCCGGGAGAAAGGCATGAAACGTGGGGAGGTTTATGAAAACGATCGGAGGGGTAGCAAGATGCCAAGGTCATCCGGAGGAGGGTGCCAGGGGCCCTCGCGGGCCTTTTAACCCTTCAGGGTCTGCGGGGGGTGGGTGGGGTTCATTCCGTGCACCCGAAAAGACCAGCTCTTGCGCGGCCAGCCATCCGCTGCGGGGGGGGGGGAACAGATGATCTACTCTGGGGGCAGGGGGAGCCCAGGGCCCACCCCGGCCCCGCCCCGCTTCTCCCACAGGCGGCGGCTGAGGTTCGGCCGGCCTACTTCAGGCCCGGCCCTGTGGGGTGGGAGGCCAGCGCCGCGGCACTGCGCGGGGAGTCGGCGGACGACCCGCTTCGGGGCGCCGACCTCCGGCACGGTCTTTCCGCTCCTACGGGGCGCGGCGGGGGTCTGTGTCTCGGGCACCCGAACCCCGAGGCGTGGAGCGCGCCCCTGGTTCGGACAGACCCGACGTGACCCCGGGGTTCTCGGGTCACGTTCGCGAGCGTCTCCGGCGCGCTACTTCAGAGCCGGCTGGCCCGGGGCCGCGAGACGGCGCCGCCCGTCCCGCACTCGGGCTCGGAGGCCCAGCTCTTACCATGGTGCGGGCAGCAAGCCTTCCGGCGGCGGGGCGGGCGCGCGGGGCGAGAAGCGGGGTGGGCTCGGGCGGGTTTAATTTTGGCGCCAACTACCGCCTGGGGCGGGGCGGCAAGAGGAGGAAGTCCGGGAGGCGGTTGGTCCGCAGCTGCAAAGCGCACAGCGACCCCTGGCGGCTCCGCCTGGCCGG